GTCTTCTGATCTGTTGGACGTGGTCTTCTGATCTGTTGGACGTAGTCTTCTTATCTGTTGGTCGTAGTCTTCTGATCTGTTGGACGTAGTCTTCTGATCTGTTGGACATAGTCTTCTAACCTTATGGACGTAGTCTTCTGATCTGTTGGACATGGTCTTCTGATCTGTTGGACGTGGTCTTCTGATCTGTTGGACGTGGTCTTCTGATCTGTTGGACGTGGTCTTCTGATCTGTTGGACGTGGTCTTCTGATCTGTTGGACATCCTGAACCCCCCGCCCCTGTGAGACTGTACCCTTCCATCATTTCTAAAGGTTAGACCACCCAGCCTCAGTCTTATCTGGTTCTGGAGTGTCCTCATGTCTCTGAGGACCAGCAGCTGGAGTTCTGACGGGACTCTCTGGTGCTGCAGGTTGTTGGTTCAGCTGCAGCAGGAGGTTCTGCTCAAGGGCACACTGGTCTGCGATGATGATGATGAAGGTGGTGAGATGAAGACTGAGCGCTGTATCCTTTAATCAGTACTGAGCGCGCTCAGACCGCCTCTCTGCCATGACATCATGTCTGCCCACTAATCAGCATGATTGACAGGTCATGTGACACGCCGTCAGGAGAACCGTGTGTGTGTGTGTGTGTGTGTGTGTGTTTGTGAGGGGGCGGAGCCTGCGTGTGTTCTGGACTTACTGTTGGGGTGAAACATGTCACAGGTGAACCTCATCTTCGGGGGACTGAGGGGGTAATCAGAGGGGAAACTGAGGACGGCAGGAAACACACCTCCTTCAAAACACGTGTCCTCTGGACCCCTGCAACAAACAAACAATAAACAAATAAACAAACAATAAACAAATAAACAACACATTATAACACATGACCTCAGGACCCCTGGAACAAACAAAATCCAAGTCCTCTTCAGGAACTCAGATCCAGAAACAAGAACAAAGAAGATCAGAGGAGGGAGGCATGTCCAGGTAATGACCCAGGTAATGACAGGTGTAGAGACCATGATGTCATACTGCAGACTGAACAGGTAAATAACTGTCTGACTGTACAGGAGCTGCAGGTTAATTTATGGGCAGACAAAAAGCTAAAGTCACGTAACAACAACAACAACAGTCACTGCAGGCTGATACACAGAGCTGGTTATTGAAGGGGTGTGACCTTTGAAACATGTAGATGATCTCAGTCCTGGTGACATGTTTGTTACTACGCTAACACGTCTGTAACGTGATCCTATGCTAACACGTCTGTAACATGATCCTATGCTAACACGTCTGTAACGTGATCCTATGCTAATACGTCTGTAACGTGATCCTATGCTAACACGTCTGTAACGTGATCCTATGCTAACACGTCTGTACCATGTTTCTATGCTAACACGTCTGTAACGTGATCCTATGCTAACATGTCTGTAACATGTCTCTATGCTAACACGTCTGTAACATGTCTCTATGCTAACACGTCTGTAACGTGATCCTATGCTAACACGTCTGTAACGTGATCCTATGCTAACACGTCTGTAACATGTTTCTATGCTAACACGTCTGTAACATGTTTCTATGCTAACACGTCTGTAACATGTTTCTATGCTAACACGTCTCTATGCTAACACGTCTCTATGCTAACACG